TGTCCTGCGGTTAACTGACATAACAATAATTCAAATATATAAAGCGCGGTATTATACCGCGTTTTACATCAAAAAATTCTGCCCCCCGAGCTAGGACTTGCCTTATTTAATGGCGTTAGGATTTTATGAAAATCCATTCAAAAAATATTCTAACTTCCGTTCAAACTTTTCTTCTTGTTATCAAGCATTTTTAATAATGTCTGAAGAGCCAAAAATAAGGGTTTCATTATATTGGGGGGGAGGGGGTGAGGTTGTAGCGGAGAATAACTCTGTGAGGTATAGTTTATCTCCACAGTGTCATGTTAAATTGCCTATTGGTATCGTTGATATGTAAAAGAATGAGTGTGAGAAAACGTTCGGTGAACCTTAAAGTAACCGGTAGATATCCATATTCTGTGACTCCGCAGGGGTTTGCTTTTTATTTTGAGTTTAACATCGAAGATGATGAAACTCTTGAAGATTTTTTGCGGATTCCGGATGAATACAAACAATTTATTGTGATAAAATTGTTGGAAATGTACGTCAAGGTTGAAGACGTTCCCAATAGTGAGGTTGTGCATAGTAAGGATAACCCCTAGTCATCGGGTGGTTATTCTGGAGCAGTTTTTGCCGGACAGATTCCTGATGAAAGAGTTTGCCTTGATTTAAACTTATCACCACCGGCGAATGAGCAGCGAGGAAATAATTTCTCGACTTTACATATTCCACAAGACGACTGGTAAACTTCAATTTTTCTATGCTTTAACGATGTTTATTTTATGTTGAAATGGATTTATATTAACACTCATATTTTCCACAGGGGGTACTTTCCGGATATGAATTTTACAAGTTATGACCCCGCTCCTAGTTGGAATATGCGTAGTTCTGGCGTGTTGGATCACGGTGGTCCATCCGGGAGTCATCACCAACAAGAAAATGTCTATCATGGAATGTCAACACAGTACGACTTGTAAGTGAAGTGATATAGCTATATGTAAAGTATTTATCAATTTGAGTAGCTTATCATTTTGCTCTTTTTGTGCAGTGAAAACGACCAACTTGATGTTCCTAACCTCACACAGTTGCCCGTAGACGACGTATTGACTCGTGATTTGGCAGATGCGCAGAGTCAGAAAGATGATAGTCATTATGACAATAATGCCAATGAGTCTGGAGATGAGACACCCTTCCTTGACGAGGGTGATGATGAGGAGGAAGTGAATGTCGAACCTGAGCTGACGAGGGAGCATGCTCCTCCACCTTTCGTTAGACCAAGAGTGTACGAGTCCCACGTGCCATTTCATGAGCGAAATATTCCCTACCTTGATAATTTGCCAAGTATGCCGGATGTGGATGCCCTCACAAGGTATCTTGACGAAGTTCGATCAGCAATGTGGGATGAGTCTAGACCAACGGTGCTGGCAAAGGGCATGTATTTTCCCAATAAAGCTCGCCTAATCAGGGCTGTAAAAATCTACAGCGTAAGAGAGTGCCGTGAGATGACGGTAAGGGAGTCAACTCCGGAGGTATACAAGGCTGTATGCCGTAGAGACTTTATGTAACGACCCGACCGGTCGTTTTGAGCTCTAGCGCGTCGTTCAGCAATTTGAAGCCATGAGCAGCTTCAGTTCAGGTATGATGACTTGTACGCGTGGTTGGAATTGAATTCCAGGAAGTTCGGAGTTGATTTGGAAAGAGAATTCCCATTTCGAAAGCTTTAAGTTGGAAGAATTGACTAAGATTGGATTTTTGAGTAAACGACCTCGGAATCGGGATTCGAAGGTTCCAACAGGTTCGTATGATGATTCGGACTTGGGCGTATGTCCGTATCGGGTTTTGGAAGACCCGAGAACGTTTTGGCACCTATTGTGGAAGTTGGTATTTTTGAAAGAATTTCATAAGTTTGGGTTGAAGTGCATATTAGTGTTATCGATGTCCGTTTGGGATTCCGAGTCTGGGAATAGCTCCGTATGGTGATTTTGATGTTGGGAGCGTGATCGGAAGTAAATTCGGAGGTCCGTGGGTCATTTTGGAGTCTTTTGGCTAAAGATAGAAATTTGAAGGCTTTGAAGAGTTTGACCGGAAGTGGACTTTTTGATATCGGGGTCAGATTTTGATTTCGGAAGTTGGAGTATGTCCGTAATATCGAATATGACTTGTGCGCAAAATTTGAGGTCAATCGGACGTGATTTGATAGGTTTCGGCATCAAATATAGAAGTTTGAAATTCTAAAGTTCATTAAGCTTGGATTGGAGTGCGATTCATGGTTTAATGTTGTTTGACGTGATTTGAGGCTTCGAGCAGGTCCGTGTTATGTTAGGGGACTGAGTTGTGTGATTGGACGGGGTCCCGGGGGCCTCGGGTGTGTTTCGGGGTGGTTTCGTAGCATTTCGGGCTGTGTTGGAACTGCTGATGCTGGTGTCTGGTGTTGTTCTTCGCGTTCGCGAGGGTCCTCTCGCTCGCGTTCGCGGATAGAGTCTCGCGTTCGCGAAGCAGAAGAATTTCTGTTGCGCAGGTCTTACTTCGGAGGCTCATATCTCACAATCTACAAGGAATTTGGAGATGATCCAAGAATAAAAGTTGTAGACCTTTGTGTCTAGTTTTCAGAAAGGTAAACCAATTAGCATTTGGATTTGTGTACCAAAAGTTATGGCTGGTACACTACAGGCTGTCCGGGAAGATGAAGAAGAAATTTGTGTTGCGCAGGGCTGACTTTGGCATATTATATCTCAGAATCTATAAGGAATTGGGAAATTTCCAAAACACAAAAGTTGTACATCTTGGTGTCTAGATTCCAAAACATTAAACCATTTGTCATTTAGAGTTTTGTACAAAACGTTATGGCCATTATACTAGAGGCTGTCTAAAAAGAGTTTGAAAAATAGTTTTTGGAAATTTTCTTCTTCGCGAACGCGACGGGGGTCTCGCGAACGCGAAGAAGAGTCGTCTTGGTAGTGTATAAGTGTAAAGAAATGGGTTTGTCTCATTTCATCTCATTTCCTCCATGGGAGCCGACCTAGGAGCGATTTTGGAGCTCCATTTTCATCATCCATGTCATGGTAAGTGATTCCATCCTATTGCAAGTTAATTACTTGGATTATATCTGGATTTTAACATGGAAAATCATGAGAAATTAGTGAAAGTTGAGGTTTTGAAGAAAAACCTAGAAATTTGTTATTCTTGGATTTTGACCACGATTTGGGCGCGAAATTGGGAGTAAATTATATATTTGAGTTCGTGAGGTTATGGGTAGACTTTATCTTCGAACAATTTCGGAATCCGGACACGTGGACCCGAGGACAATTTTGTCAACTTTTTGATCGGGGTTAGAAATTGTTATAAATTGGATTTTAATGAGTAATTGATCATATATTAATGGCAGAATAGGTGAAAACTCCCCTAAACTTGACACTTTTTAATGAGTGTACACCTTAACTATACGTGATTTTAATTACCCCCCTATGCTTACTTTTTCGGATTTTATTACCCCCCTAAGTTAGTAAAACTCTCTATCGTGCATACACGCGCTGTATACATGTAAATGATTGCTGATGTGGCTGTACACGTTGGAATAATTCGGGTATCCAATTAGAATACCCGACCCGCCTTGAAAATTAATCCCTCAAATTTAACCCATCCCTTTTACCATCGTTCATTTGGTCGATAACATAGAAAAACTAGGGTTCACCGCTTCACTCCCATCATCAATGACAGAGACGATTGTGCGTTCTTGAGCTTGATTTTGTGAGTCGATAGGGTTCTCCGTTGAGGTGCTGCTAAAAGCTACTGTGGAGGAGCTAAAAGCTACTGGGTATATTTGATTCTCGCCAATATTTCTACTATTTTCACTCTGAGTTTGAAGGTATGTGTGCCTCTTTCTGTTAGGGTAAAATTAGGGGTTTTATATTGATTGTGACTTTTGCATGCATGCGGATTAGGGTAAAATTAGGGCTTTTATGTTGTTTGTTAATTTGTGGGGGTCTTTACCGATTACTGTTTATTTGTAATCTTCTGTATATAATTTTACAAACTTCTGTCTTGAGAGTTGTTTTTTCCTTTTTCTTATTGCTGTGTAGGGTCCCATGGATACTAAGTATGTGAATCTAAGATGGAAAATTGGTGGGATATTGGTGAGTGAGGTAGGACCTCTATATGTTGGGGGTAGGGTTGAACATGTGACTAATGTCGACTGTGACCACTTGTCAATACCAGAGTTAGTTGATTATGCTAAGGATTTTGGGATTACAAAGTTAGGAAAAACTTATATTATGAGTCCTAAGGGTGGCAGTTTGGTTGAATTAACAAAAGATAGGGATTTAATGGACCTTGCTATGTTATTAAACAATGGGGACACAATAGACATTTTTGTCTCTTCTGACTCACAATTTGAGGAGGTGGATGCTTTAGAGGGTAGCCAAATAAGCCACGTGGGTGAGCCTTTTAATGCATCTTCTAGCACACAACAAGACAATAGGGAATCTTTTGTTCCCTGTGGTCCTCCTTTAAATACTATTGCTGCAAATCCAGATCTAGGGTTACCTACTCCTTTGAATACCACTCAAGAAGAGGATTCACCCATAGATTGGACTTCCATTTCAGAGGAAGAAGAATCTGTTGTTGTTGCTGATGATGTAGTAGACATTGCTGCTGATTCTCAACAAGTAGAACCAGCTGGAGAAGAAGAAGAAATAGGGTTACCTACTCCTTTGAATACCACTCAAGAAGAGGATTCACCCATAGATTGGACTTCCTCTTCAGAGGAAGAAGAATTTGCTGCTGCTGCTGATTCTCAACAAGTAGAACCAGCTGGAGAAGAAGAAGAAATAGCATCTGGTGATGAATCTGAGAGGTCATTTTATTATGGAAGTGATGTCCATGAAGAGTTGAGGGTTGTTAAAGAAGATCTGAAGAAATATAGACAAAAGAATAGGAGAAAACTTAGGAAGGAAAAACCTGATGGATTTTGTAGGTGAAGTTGGAGTTGATGAAGGTTATGAGAACATAGATCAACCCAAAAAAATATGAGAGACAAATTAGGAGGTGATGATGAGCCTTACTATGATAGTTCAGATCCAGATAGTTTTGAATCTGAATCAGATCTAGAAGGGGAGGGTGATCCTGTATCTGATGATGATGTAGATGATATGGGACAGTTAAGGGGAAGGAAAAAAACAAATAGAGTGGTTTATGATCCTTCTGCCAAAGTTGTTACTTGGCAATTAGGGATGGTATTTGAGAATGTGAAGGAATTTAGAGAAGCAATTACCAAGTATGCTATAAAGAAAGGTATTCAGCTAGTTAAGGATCCCAATGAGCCCCACAGAGTCAGAGTTAAATGCAAAACTGGTTGTCCTTGGTTGTTGTATGCTAGCAAGGAAGGTAGGAGTACAAACTTCACAATCAAGACTTACAATCCAAGACACAAATGCCATAAAACCACTTACAACTATTTGTGTAATTCAAAATATGTGGCAAAGCAGTTCAACGATAGAATTACCTCACAACCAAGAATTAAAGGTTGGGAAATTCAGGATATGGTGAGAAAAAAGCTTGGTTTATATGTTGGTAAGTCTGTTTGTTTGAAGACCAAAAAGATTGTGTTGAAAGAGATTATGGGGGATCATGTTGCTGAGTTTGGTAGGATTCTGGACTATAGGGATATGCTACTCAAACAAATCCTGGTAGCACATGTGTAGTAAAATTGACAGACACAGATGATGGGAAGAAGCAGTTTGCCAGTTTCTACATTTGTTTTGCAGCTATGAAGCAGGGGTTTATGGAGGGTTGTAGGAGATGTATAGGGTTAGATGGATATTTTTTAAAGGGTGTTTGTAAAGGGCAACTGTTGGCAGCAGTAGCAAAGGATGGGAATAACCAAATGTTCCCAATAGCTTGGGCTGTTGTAGGCACTGAAAAAAAGCAAACATGGAGTTGGTTCCTTGGGTTATTGCAAACTGATTTGAACTTGGGAGATGGCAGGGAACTCACCATGATAAGTGACATGCAAAAGGTATGTACTACTGTTTTTCTGTTTTTTTTGCTGTTTAAATACTACTATTTTTCTATTTTTTTGCTGTTTAACTACTAGTATTTTTCTGGTTTAAAACACTGCTGTTTTTCTGGTTTAAGTATTACTATTTTCTGGTTTAAAACACTGCTGTTTTAAGATGGTCTATTTTTCTGCTTTTAAGTATTATTGTTTCTCTGTTTTTATGCAGGGACTATGTTCAGCTGTTGAAGAGATTTTACCTGAGTGTGAGACACATTCTGGCAAACTGGGCTATAAAATGGAGAGAGATTGAAAGAAGAAAAAGATTCTAGAGTGTTGTTAGATCAACATGTGAGTCTGAAATGAAAAGAAAACTAGATGATCTTGATAAATTGGGTCATAACATTTGTAAAGACCTAGTTAAATACAACAAAGAAAGATGGTGCAAAGCATTCTTCCAAACATTCTCCAAGTGTGACAGTGTTGACAATAACATGTGTGAAAGCTTCAATGCTTGGATATTGGGCCCTAGACACAAGACAATCATATCAATGCTAGAGGAAATAAGGGTCAAAGTTATGAGTAGGGTAGCAAAGATGAGAGAATTTGCTGAAACTTGGTAGGATGGTGTATCTCCAATGGCCATGATGGTGTTTAATACTAATGTTGAGAGGTCAATGAGGGTTGACTTCATGTTTAATGGAGATATTGGATTTGAACTCAAAGATGGTCCATGCAAGTTCATTGTAGATTTAAGAACAAGTTACTGCAGTTGCAGGTCTTGGGAACTTAAAGGCATTTCATTTCCACATGCTATAACAGCAATGCACTTCAAGAGACTTGATCTTTCAGAGCATATTGTACACTGGTACAGGAAAGAGACCTACATGAAGGCATATTCACACTTCATACAACCAGTTCCCAACATGATAATGTGGCCAGAAAGTAGTAACCCCAAGGTATTACCTCCTCCAGTTCAAAATATGCCTGGAAGGCCAAGAAAAAATAGAAAAAAGGAAGTTGGAGAAATAAAAAGGGCTGGAAAATTATCAAAGAAGGGAATAACTATGACATGCTCCATTTGCAAAGCAAGTACTCATAATATGAGGAGTTGTCCAACAAGACCAACAAGTAATCAAGAGGTACCTTCCTACCTTCTTCCTTTATTACTATCTTCTTAGTTATCTAAGAGATAATTCCTCATTTTCTCATATAATAGACTACTAATTGCTCACAACAATCAACAACAAAAACTTCACAAAAGAGAGGCAGAAAGGAATCTGACAATGCATCTACAAGTAAGGCATCTACAAGTACTGAGGAAAAATCTGGGGGGGGGGGGGTCGGAAGAAGCCGACTACAAGAGGCCGTACGGCGTTCAAGGACGATGGTGGT